AAGAAGCTTTTAAAAGGCTTGCCTCAAATAACCAAATCTTTGCTCACCTAGAGCAAAAGATTCGTGATTCCGATAAGAAACTAGATGCATTAAAAGCTTTCATAGTGAAAAGTAAAAAAGTAGATTGTGAGGAAATAAGAAAAAGAGTTGTTAACTTTAGGTGTGATACTTGTTACATTTGAAAAAATGAAGTTAGAAATCTAAATGCCAAACTTAACAAGGCTCTAGAGCCCAAAATTACTTTTGTCATTGATAAAGCTAATTTTAGAAAGAGTATGGTTAATCCATATCAAAAATACACATATGTTATAAAAAATCATGATAGCAAAAGTAATTCAAAAGTTAACTTTTCTTGTTTGTATTGTTGCAAGAAAGGCCACACCATTGCTAAATGCTACTTTAGGAGATTTTTGGTTCCTAAAGGGGTTTATCAATGGTTTCCTAAATGCGACTGTGTTTTCACTCACAACCTAGGACCCAATAAACAATTGGGTACCTATTCTTGCTAATTATGTTCATATGTACAACATCTTGAGACTACCGAGAGAAGATGGGTTCTCCATAGTGGCTGCTCAAGACACATGGCAGGAGACATATCTCTCTTCATTGACTTTGTGGTAAAGAAGAAGGGATTTGTAACCTATGGAGACAACAACTGTGGTGCAATACTTGGAAAAGGTAGTGTAGGTAATCCCTATTCCACTACTATCTCCAATGTGTTGCTTGTCGAGGGTCTTAAACATAATCTCATCAGCATTAGCCAATTATGCGACAAAGGATACAAAGTATCATTTTCAAGAGATTGTTGTCAAATTGAGCGTAATGATAAAATGAAGGATATGTTTAATGGTCTAAGAATAAACAAGGTAGTTACTAATGATCTAGTCATAGGCCTGCCCAAAATCAAGTTCACCAAGGATCACTTATGTGATGCTTGCCAAATGGGAAAGCAAACGAGGATCTCTTTTAAATCTAAAAATATTGTTTCAACTACGAGACCTCTTAAGCCTCTCCATATGGATCCATTTGGGCCATCTAGAATTAAATGTCTTGGTGGTAACTACTATGGGTTTGTAATAGTCGATGACTTCTCTAGATTTTGTTGGACTATCTTCTTGGCTAGCAAGACTGATACATTCCACTAGTGGAAAAATACTTTCTTAGCAGAGGTTTTTAAGTCAGTTCATCAATAACCCGACTTAAGAAACCACACGGTGGCAAATCCGTAAGTATTTGAAACTTTGTTATGTCGGGTCTATGTTTAACCGGCCTACAAAGATTAAATTAAAAAATATATAATTTTCATTAAATTTCTTAAGTCGGTTCTTTTACTGAAATGACTTAAGAAATTTATTTATTAAGTCAGGTGTTTATTACCTGACCTAAGAAGGTCTTACAAGACTCCGGTTCGATTCTTACCTAATACAGTATAGTGAAATAAACATTATTTAATACTTCGTTAATAAATTTTAATTAAAATAATTTCTGATAACACAGTGACCTTTCTCTTTCTCTTTCTCTTTCTCTTTCTCTTTCTGCGCGCAGCTTTCTTCTCTAAGTTTTTGATACCGCGAAAATTTTCACCACAACTTCTTGTTCTCTCAATCTTTCACCACAACTTCCGTTTTCAGATTCGACCATACTCTCAATCTTTCACCAATCGCTGTCACCATACTCACTTTCTCCAGGTTCTCTCTTCTCTCTGCGTTTTGAAATGTTAGGTTTTGAATTTTCAATGAATAAATTGTAAAGAGTATTTCGTGTTTTCAAATTTGAAGCAGGGTTTAGGTGATACTAAATTGTTGGATATTTTGGTGATACTAGCAAAGGCTTTGAACTCTGCAGATTAGGTATGTTTTCATGATTATTCATGTATGGTGGTTCAGTTTCTCTGAATGTTTGATGGAGTATTGATGAAATTTTGTTGTTAAATTGAAGATGGAATTGATTTGAATTTTAGTTTGGATAGGTTTTCTAACTGGTATAGTTTTTCCTCTATTCTGCTGCTTGAGTTTTGATAGTGTTTCTAACTGGTATAGTTTGGATAGTTTGGATAGTGTTTCTAACTGCTGCCTAGGATTTGAATGGCCCTTAAATATAGCCAGAGCATTAATATTATAAATGAATCTCTAATTCACTCACTCACCCATTGATATTCATCTTTTACAATACCTAACAAAATTGAATGTGTTTGAATTCAGTTTGTTTCAGTCTGATCTTAATGTGTTCAAGTGACTGACAAATCAAAAAGTGGAAGCGAGATTAATTTTTTTGATAAATTTTATTGTTATTGATCATTGTTTATATTGTACCTTGTTGTGTTTGGAAATATAAGTATTATTAATGAAGAATTACATTCAGTCTCTTTCCACCTAATTAGTTCTTGTTTCTTTTGTACAACTATCAATCATGTTAGCAAGACAAAGCACACTAGCATATCACCATAATATCCATTCATATTCATTGCATATGAGACTGAAAATGAGAAAACTATATCTAATTATTGAGAAAGAAAAAGCTACCAGGGACAAAATGTACCTTAAGGCTTTATTATGTGTGTTAGACACCCGAGCTTTTTGATTGTTTATTGTCCACTTTCTAATTGTAAATCTAATTAGAAACTTAAGATAGAAGAACTTATTAAGCAGCCAAAACACAAATCTCCAAACAAACATCAGAAACATCAAACTACTAAATATTTTGTTGATATACCCAAGAACTATACTGTGTACCTGTGATTTTGTGTATTCGTTGTTTACTTGATTTCTTACAAGTGGAAGTGTGGGTTGTGCTTAAAGATAGATTAGGATAAAGCTCATGTTGTCTACTTTTTCAGAGAAATTGGTTTATTTATTTTTCATTGAATTGATAAAGGGATAATTTTACTACGGTTTCCTTTTTTTTGGCGCTCATTGATAAAGGGATAAACTATTTATTTTGTATTTGAATATTTTATGACATACTTATTTTAATTAGTTATACTTGTAGATGTTAAACATTTGTTCTTGTTTCATGTTATCAATCAGTTACTATGAGGGTCTCCAAAAGTGTGTTGGTTTGTATTTAGAAGATGGGAAGTACTCTGCTGATCAAATAGATCAGTTAGTTTCATTGTATGAAACACTTGGGCAACAATATAAGTGGTCTTCTGCAGTAAAGGTAATACTGTTTGTTGTTGTTATTGCTAATATATTTCCTTAGAAATTTAACAATCATCAATAATATTTGGTTGTATTACCCATGCAAGACATTTAAAGTACATGCTTTTCCTGTGGAAATGATTTTTCTAATATGTAAGATCATTACTGTGTTTCTGATAGTGTTTTTGGAGGCAGGTATGTCATTGTTTTATGCTTGGTTTTAAATGTTGCCAAAACTTGAATCAAATACCCGTGAGCCTAATATGTGTGGTCATAATGTCTTAAATTTGTGTTTTCAATAACTTTGGAGATTTAAAATATATGGATATTGAATTACAACAATTTAATTATTTTCATTGCAAAATCATTTGTTTGGATTTTTATCCTTACACATACTGTTGAATAATTGGAAGTTGCTAAATATTCTGAATGCAAATTTGTCCTGGTCCTCATCACAGAGGAATCTCAATATGAACTCTGTTTAGGGAACTCTGAATGTATAAGCTTATATTTAGGGAGTTGTTTGTTTGAGAATCTCTCTTTTTTTATTTGGAGTGTGTGACAGTAAAAAACAAGGGGCACATTTTGATCTAAATAAATGTTACTAGTGTACAAAGTAACTATAAAATTAAAGTGCATTTAGTGATTCTTTAATATTGACACATGATGGGCACAGAAAAGGAAAAGAGGTCACTGATGTGTGTTTTTTATGTCCATTTTTTTCTTTCCATATTTGAGGCTAAATCAGAGTCATTTATGTATGTGGTGTCCATGCTACAGTTTAATAGAATGAGAAATGGACGTTTTGTTAGATAGGGTACATACTGCATTGCTGTCTAACATGTTGCATTGTCAAATTTAATTCCCTAGTCTAGAGAATCATGCTTTCACGCAATTGAAATATTTATGCTTTATCGATAAATATCTGATTTGTTTTTGTTTTTTAATTTCTATATACTAGGATATGGTCATGTGAGAGTTTGATACATACATGTTAGTTAATTACTATATACTAGTTGAACTCTTTTTTACCGTAACTCTTTCATTTCAACATAAATTAGAGAATCCTATCTACTCTAACTCATATCATATGGATGCATTAGGTTCAAAATGCAGTAGTGGTTGTGAGTCTGGTTGGACTCTATACCTTGACCACTCTTTCCATACCTCCTCACAATCATATACACCTTCTCTTGACCAAACTAAACACATAAAGGTTCAATATGATGAACAAGAGGACTCGTCCATGGTTTCTGATGCTTCTTCTGGGCCTCCGCACCGTGACTATTCTCCATCCAAGCCTGCAAAACTTGCCAAGAGAAGTAAAAAGAGACAGAAAGTTAAATAAAATACATTACAGCCTACGGTGCCTCCATGGTGGGCATCACATCACTACTGTCCTGTATTGTGACAGTATTGGGTGGCCAGCTTGAGTTACAAGCATCCATTAGATCAGTTCCTTGTATTCTAAGGAATGTATTATTTAAAGGGATTGAGATTTGGAAGTGAATCTTGTGGGATGACTCAACCAAGATCTTGGTTGTTGTAAGAAAGACACTAGTGTCATGGCAACTTGAAGTACTTTTATTCAAGATAACATTTTGACATCATGCTGTGTTTAGTGGCCTTTTGAAAAAGATGTTACAAAAACATCCCAATAAGCTTTTTCAAAAGTTCTTAAAAGAAATCATCCTGTAACCATTAATCTAGTTTCTATCAATGAAACAGTGCAATGATTTAGCTGTACCTTATTTTTAGTAAGCTCACTTCTTACCACCATGACATAGCCCTGTCAGCAAGCTCACTTATTTTTAGTTGTACCTTAGTTCTTTCCATTTTTTTTCTTTTTCAGAAATAGTCATGGATCGTAGTTGGATGAAACCTAATCATTTAGGTGCAGAATATGATAAAGGAATGGAAGCATTTTTTCAATATGCTCGTGAAAAACTTCCTAATAATAATAAGTTTTATTGTCCGTGTGTTAATTGTTTGAATAAAGAGCCGCCACTTTTAATAGATGGAATAAGAAATCATCTTGTTTGTGAGGGCATTTGCCAAAGTTATACCAATTGGATATGGCACGGTGAACCGTCAAACAATACGTCAAGTGTGTCAGAAAGAGGTAGTTGATGTAGATATGGACAATGATCAATGCTATTGGACCCGAGTCTTTTCAGCATGCTCATATGTACGATACTTTGTGCAGTGACAATGAAGAGTCATTGTATTCGGGATGCACTAACTTCACACGGTTATATGCGGTGTTGAGATTGTTCAACTTGAAGGCAAGAAATGGATGGACGGATAAAAGTTTTACCGAAATACTTGAGTTGTTGTGTGAAATGCTTCCTGAAGGAAATAGATTGCCAAATCGTAATTACGAGGCAAAAAAGATATTGTGTCCGATGGGTATGGAGTACAAGAAAATACACGCATGTCCTAATGATTGCATATTATACCGAAATGAGTATGAAGAGTTGAAGGAGTGTCCCACATGCGCGCAATCACGTTTCAAAGTGAAAGATGGTGATTTGAATAATGATGAAAACACAAAGCATCTTCCTGCAAAGGTGTTGTGGTATCTTCTAATAATTCCAAGGTTGAAAAGATTATTCGCTAATTCAAAAGATGCAAAGAATATTATATGGCATGCAATTGAGAGAGAACGTGATGGACAACGTCGTCATCCAGCTGATTCTTTGCAATGGAAGAAAGTTGATGATTTATATCCGAATTTCGGTAATGAGGCAAGAAACCTTAGGCTTGCAATTGCTACTGATGGAATGAATCCATATGGAAACTTAAGTAGTAATCATAGTTCATGGCCTGTTCTATTAATCATCTACAATTTGTCTCCTTCAATTTGTATGAAACGAAAATATATTATGTTATCCATGATGATTTCGGGCCCAAGGCAGCCAGGAAATGATATAGATGTTTATCTAAGTCCTTTGATTGAGGATTTGAGAATGCTCTGGGAGGAAGGTGTTGATGTGTTTGATGGCTATTCCCACGAGAATTTCAAGATGCGTGCAATGTTATTTTGCACTATCAATGATTTTCCCGCATATGGGAACTTGTGCGGTTATAGTGTTAAAGGACATAAGGCGTGTCCTATATGTGAAGATAACACATGCTTCCAACAATTAAAACATGGAAAGAAGACAGTGTACCTTGGGCATCGGAGGTTTCTTAAACCTAATCACCTATATTGTAGGTTGAGAAAAGTGTTTAATGGAGACCAGGAGAATGGAATTGCTCCAAGAGCATTAACTGGAAAGGAGGTTTATGGACGGGTGAAGGATGTCAATGTTCTATTTGGAAAGAACCAAAAACAAACCACTCATACAAATATATGGAAGAAGAGGTCGGTGTTCTTTGATCTACCTTATTGGTGCAATTTAGATGTTAGACATTGTATTGATGTGATGCATGTGGAGAAAAATGTGTGTGATAGTGTAATCGAAACACTTCTCAACATTCATGGAAAAATAAAGGATAATGTAAATGCTCGTTTAGATATGGTTGAGATGGGTATACGACAATAATTAGCTCCACAATCAGCTGGTAAGCGGACATATTTGCCTCCAGCTTGTCATACTTTGTCAAAAAATGAGAAGATAAGCTTTTGTGAGTGTCTACGTAGCATAAAAGTGCCTCATGGTTACTCTTCAAATATAAAGAGTCTTGTCTCAATGAAAGATTTGAAATTGGTTGGCCTAAAGTCTCATGATTGTCACGTATTGATGCAACAACTACTACCAGTTGCTATTCATGGCATATTGCCTAAAAAGGTTAGAGTTGTCTTAACTAGGCTTTGCTTATTCTTCAATGCTATTTGTAGCAAAGTCATTGATCCTAAAAAATTATATGAGTTAGAAAATGAAGCAGCTGTTATCTTATGCCAACTAGAGATGTATTTTCCCCCTTCTTTTTTTGATATCATGGTGCACCTGATTATTCATCTAGCAAGGGAGATTAGATTGTGTGGTCCTGTTTATTTGAGGTGGATGTATCCAGTTGAGCGATACATGAAGATCTTAAAAGGGTATGTGAAGAATCAATATCATCCTGAAGCATCTATTATTGAGAGATACATTGCAGAAGAAGCTATTGAGTTTTGCTCCGAATACATGTCTGAAGCAGATGCTATAGGAATTCCTAAGTCTCGTCATGGTGGAAGATGTGGAGGTATTCGAGGTTTAAAACTTAAGAGCATAGCCCGAGCGAAAGTACTTCGAGCACAAATGTACATATTGAATAATATTGATGAAGTCAAACCTTACATTTCTGCTCACAAAAACATTGTCAAGGAAACATTTCCTCGAATGAATGAAAAGTGGGTGTTGAATGAGCATAACAAGACTTTTTTAAAGTGGTTTAAAAAAACCATTTTAGCCGATAATACATGTTCTGAGACATTGAAATGTCCAGCAAGGGCGCCTAAATTTGATTTCATAACTTGGATTGGCTATGGTATAAATAATTTTACATTTTATACAAAGACCCAAGATGACACTAGTAGTGTCCAAAATAGTGGGGTTATGGTTGTAGCTGAGTCCATGCACTTCTCTCGTTTAAAAGATAAAAATCTTGTTATGGCATCAATAGCTTACTATGGGGTCATAGAAGAGATTTGGGATATCAATTTCATTACATTTAAAGTACCTCTATTTAAATATAAATGGGTTGACACAAAAAATAGTGTTAAGACTGATGAATTTGGTTTTACATTGGTGGACCTTGAAAAGGTAGCCTATATGGATGAACCTTTTATTATGGCATCTCAAGCAAAACAAGTGTTTTATGTTAGGGACCCTTCTAACAAAAAATGGTCAGTGGTTCTCCAAGGTAAAAGCAACCACAACCCTAATGATAGTGAGCATGCAACGCTAGATATTTATGAGACTCCTTCTTTTTCTCAACGGGTGCCAACTTTAGTTGAAGATACTATTGGTGACAAGGTGTATGCCACTCGTGAAGATCATCAAGAAGGGATATGGGAAAATATTCAAACAATACACAATTAGTTAAGAAATGGTGAATTTTTATCTAAATATGTAGATTTTAAGTATTTTTTTATTGTCTCATGTACAGTATTTTTGTCATATAATTTCATATAATTTCATATTATTGAGCTTGAATTATTATGTTTTTTTCTCTAAACAGACACATGGGTGATGCATCAGCTCCTTCGCAAAGTGGATTTAATACTCTATCAACCAAAACAAAAGGAAGAGGTTGCACCAGGATGAAAAAGTTGCAACTTTTGACTGCACGGGATGAGAGAATACCAATTGATTTCAGTTCAGATGGACATCCTATAGGGGAACTTGCAAAAGATTTCAAGTATCATGTTGCTTGTCTCGCTCGAGAGAAAATCAGTATTCTGATTGATGAATGGGATAAGGTTGGTAGTGAAGACAGGAAAGAAATTTGGAAAGGACTTGAGGTAATTTTAATTGCATTTGTCACAATTATACATAACTTTAATATTTTGATATGTACTAACTCTTTTATTTGTTGTGTAACATAGCAAATATGGGACATTTCTAAAAATGATGTTGTTGATAAGAAAACGATGGTATATGTGGGTGAGCGTTGGAGGTCCTTTAAAAACAACTTAACAAGTAGATATTTAAATAATGGAATTAAGAGTGGAGTGTCTCCCACTGATGATTACCCTTATATTGATGAAGAAACATGGAAGGATTTTGTTAAATCGCGAGAGGACCCTTCCTTTCTGGTTAGTTGGCTTTATTATTTAGTTAATGAATCAACTTATTTTTAGTACAACTTAATGAATCAATGTGCAATATAATAGGAGAAAAGAAAGAAGGGACAAGAGACCCAGTCTTATAATAAATATCCCCATAGGTTGTCCCAAGGGGGATATGCTTTGCTTGAGAAAAATATGATGGCAGATAAGTTAAAAGAAAGACAAGCAGCAGCTGGAAGTTCAGAGGTTCCACCTCCATCTCCACCACAACGACATGAGAAGTGGAAGAGAGCCCGACTAAAACCATCAGGAGAGTATACATCAGAAGACACACGTCTTGTTGCAGAAAAAATTGTAAGTAGTGTTACATATGCATATTTACATTTACAACTCTGCCATGGTGACAAAACATCATTTTTTTACGGTTACAACTCTGTCGGTCCAGTTTCCTTATTGTATCGACATCGGTGATTTGTTAACGTTCTTTATGCTATCTTGTTTATGCATTGGCAAGGTTGTATTATGATTCACATACGATGCGAATTACTACATTAATATGTTATCATGTGATTTGTGCTATCAAGATGCTGTCTTGTTTTTGGTCTCAAATTTAAGATTAAATTGAAGATTAAAGATGTTGTCAAGATGAACAGCATCACAGTGGAACTACGTACTGTTACTGTTACTGTACCATTAATCATCATCTTTTTAATTACCATTTTTTTAATTACCATCTTTTTAAAAATAGTACTGTTACTGTACCATTAATTTTTGGTGCTATCTTTTTAATTACATGAGCTAATAAGGGTGTATCCACCCGTTGATATATTATTCAGATTAATCTCAACCTACTTGAACTTAAGAATGAACTAATGATATTTTTGTTCTGTTATATTTTTTGAACTCTCTATTTGCTAACTTGATGATAAACAATACACAATTTGTAGGATAAAGCAATTAATGCCTTTTGATTTCTGTTCTGATAAAGCAATTAATGCCTTTTTCTTTTTCTTTTGATTCCAGTTCTGTTATATTTTTTTAACTCTCTTTTTAACTCTCTATTTGCTAACTTGAATTGATGATATTTGTAGGATACTCTGGTGTCGGAAGGGAACTTTATCCTACAAGGACGACAATATATTTTGACAGAAGCCACAGGGCGACGTGAGCACCCTGGTCGTGTTCGTGCTGTTGGTCGAGGTGTGGGGATTCGACAATTCTTTGGATCCCATTCTCGTAAACATTTTAGTACCCCGCCTATTTTGAATAACGACCAAATAGAGACCATAAAGGCCGAGCTTACTAAGGAGATTAGAGAGCAAGTGATGCGGGATATATCATCTTTGCCAGCTTTTTCTCAAAAATACCCAAATGACCCTGTTTGTTCTCCTAATACCAATTTACAATATGC